GCTGGCAGGGACTGGGCTCCCCATGGCGAATGTCCTGCAGGCTCCATGCAGCTCATGGGGCTGGTTGGGTGCTGCACGGTGCGTCCTGCCCACCAGTGCTGGTCCTGCTACATCCTCAGTGTCTGGGGGAATCCCACCACTGCCAGGACAGCACCTGTATCTGGCTGTGGCTGCCCCGGGGCGGCTCTTGGTGCACCAGGGTGGTTTTTCTTTCATGGTCCCAGCCCTTGCATTCAAAGGATTTTGCTGGGATTTTGTTTGGTATTTTGGTGGTTTTGGTTTGACCAGGTTTCTAGGCCTCTGTGGTTGGAAGAGGAAATCTGAAGAGCAGAGAAAAACCTTTCCCAAGGATGGCAAGTGCTGGCAGGCAGGCACAGCCCCTGGCCTGTGGCGTGAGCAGAACTGTTGGCAGCCCCTGTCCCTGATCCCTGAGATGCCTGTCCCTAGCTGGGGCACCTCTGCCTGTGAGGGGCTGGTGTCCCCCCTGGGCAGCATCAGGTCACATGTGAGGTTTCCTTGTTCCTGTAACAGTTCGAATTCTCCATTTTCGGTTCCCAGAGTTGCCAGGACACCCAGCTGGTCCTGGTGCTACTAGTCCTGGCTCTGCCCACTGGTTGTGGAACCCATTGCCTCTGCCCTAGGGTGGCACATTTTGTTAACAGAGCCAGCATTATCTCCTTCATGAGCCCCAGAGTGCCTGGCCCCAGATGTTTCCAGCGTGGGCTGGGGCACTCAGCTGCCTCCTCCCCGATGGCACCAGGGTGAAGCCGTCGGCTGCTACCACTTTCTGTGGGAGAAAAACAAACCCCATCAAAGCACAGAGCTTCTAGAAGGAGCTCGCTCCCGTGCTGGCTGCTGCCTCCCAGCCAGAGCTGGAAACCACAGGCCGGTGTAAAACATGCGAGCAGCCCTGGGCCCTCTGTGCTGACTCTGATGTGCCCCAGTGCCCCCAGCCCTGGTTACAGCTGTGAGCAGGGCCTGGGTCTGGGGGCTGCTCACCAGCACCTGGGTGTTCTGGGTGCAGGCTCTACCCCGATGCCATGTGCTGTGGGGGTGTGAGCAGAGCTGGGGTGTGCAGATGAGTGGGTCCTGTCTCCCCCTATGCCGAGTTCCTGCACTGGTCCCTGGCGTCCCATCCCTGGCTGCTGGCCAGTCATGGGGGCTCATGGGGGTCAGCACCGCCAGTCTGCTGGGGACAGAGGCTGTGCTCACTCTGGCACCAGGGAGGTGTGTGGGGCCGAGCAGGAGGGTGTGCTGGCCCCGCTCCCCAGCCGGCACCCCACAGGCAGCCGAGGCAGAGGTGGCTGCCAGCAGCCCAGGGCAGGCTGCCCTGCGCAGGCAGCTGACATTTTGGAAGGAAATAGCTGCTCTCTGCTCCTTCCTGTAGCGCGCAGCCAGCGAAACGGCCGCCTGGGAGCCCGGCTGTGCCGGCAGCACCAGCCTGGAGCCGCGGCCGGGCTGCCCCGGGTTCGGACACTGGAGAGGCGCGTGGGGCAGAGCGGGGTGAGTGCGGC